AGGAAGGGAGCAAATAATTAAGCATGTACTATGTATCAGGCGCTCTACTAAATCCTTTACAAATATTATCTCATATTAATATAACTCTTCCTCTCCTCCCCCCTTAATTTTCTTAGACCTTTTATCTCTCCTTTACCTTGTTGTGATGTTGTTGTATAACCAAGTCAAGATTCTTGTTGGTTTCTGCCCCAGAGGAAGGTCTAAGTTAGCCAGAGTGTACTGGGCCTGACAGCTTTATAAGTACCTGGGCGCCTGAAGAAGTAAAATCTATCTTCAAAATTACCTCACCTTCCTAGGCTGCTGGAAATTCTCAGTAGGACTGAGAACATTTAATGGATTCTATCACTTGTCACCACAGTTAAAATTTGTAGGACATTGTTTAGAAGTTGCATTATGAAGTATTTACCAATTGTTTTTTTTAAGACATGGATACGGTTACTCAAAATAAATTACTTGCACTCTGGGTTTGTTTTGCTCCATGCACAAATTTTTTTGTCCATAGGAATCCTGAAAAATAATCATTTATAGTAGTTGAACAGTACTGCAACTTGGTTTTCCCAAGAGCCGGGGAATCTGTTTTGTGGAATTCAATGTACCTAACCTCTGAGAATGCTGCTTCAGAATCTTCCAAGTGATTCAGGAGAAGTGTGGCTACCCTTGGGAGAACCATGAGCCTTAAGACTGGTGGAGAAAAGCAGGATGATTTTCTACCTGCACACACTCCCAGGACATGTTAGACTTTAGAGTGGTAGGTGCACTTAATCAACTTCCAAGGGTAGATGGGATGTCATGCCATGGTCCTGGGAGCCTGTGGGGATGACAATAAAGAAGGAAAGTCCCTTTGTCATTCTGTAAAGGAGAGGAAATTTGGTGGAGGAGACCTATGGGGGTCACACATCTGTCCTTGTGCTGTAGGCTGAGCTTATGGCTGCAAAGGGTTCCCTCTCCCCCACCTCAGTACAAAGCATAGGACTTCCTTTCCCCTCCCGTCAGATTTCTAGCTGAGGCACCCTTCAGTTCTCCAAGTCTTCTCTGTTAACCACTCCTCCCCTCCCACAAGCCCCCTTCCTTCTTTTCCCTCCATTCCTCCTCCCACACAGACACATAAACACCTAGCCAAGTGAACCAGTCTTTGGCTGCTGGACCCTGGGCCCTGGACATAAATTGAAGAAAAGCATTGGGGGGAGGGGGGAGAGAGAGAGAGAGAGAGAGAGAGAGAGAGAGAGAGTCCATGGGAGGAATACCAAGGGCTGAGAGGAGGAACTAAGAGGAGATGCTGAATGGGCAAACATTTCCCAGTTGAGGTTCCAGAGGTCTTCCTTCAGCTGGTTTCAACTTCTTATAGACCTTGGGTGGCCGGGCCTGGACTGCTCCAGAGGCAGAGTCCCAGCTCTGCAGAGTTGCTCAAAGAAAAGGACTGAGGCATTGGACTTGCTGGCCAAGGCAGGGCAGTCTTGTGTGTGCTGGCGGGGCACCCTTGTCTCTTTTTATTTGGTTGAGGAAGGCTGCTCTGAATTGGAAGGAAGCTGGAAGGGAGCTTGGGTGGGCCTGTGTTGTTTCCCTTCAATAACCTGACTTCCACCCTATCTAGCCCAAGGAAAGGGCCAAGAAACAGCTCAATAGAAAAAAAACAACAAAACAATAGAGATCAGTTCTCATTTCCCTAGATCCCCTTCTTTCCCTACCCCCCTCTCCAATCTCTTTCCAGCCAATAGAATAATTAATGAAGAACGAGGGAGGAATATTTTTGAATTTTTCCCAGTTTCCTTTCAAAATGGAACATTGAGAAAAGTTAAATCTCTTTCCTTGGCCCAAACTCCCGTCCCCTTCCCTGCCACCCCCTAATAAGGTGCATGTTTCACTTGGAAAGATAAAATGCCTCCAGCTTAGGACCCATCCTTCTGAAACTGGAGAGCCATCCTAGACTGGCGACTCCTAAATCATTCTCTGAAAATGCTACTTAAAAATAAAACATTTCCTTCAAATTGGTTCACAAACTGCCTCCTTGTCACTTGTTTTCTTACTGCTAAAAGAAATGGCATTTATTTAAAAGAAATAAAGCCACACAAAAACTCTCTACAAAATGAGCAAACATTCCCCAATGTGTGGTTTTAAACCTCCCCCCCCCCCCCCATGTCCTAATGAATTTGTAAGGGAAGGAAACCCTCCCACATATTCACTCTTGCTCCAGAGACAAGTACAGCTAACCAGGGCTAGGAGGGTGAATGAGTGAGCTGTGTTTGGGGTTACCTACCTGGCTGATATAAAGAGCTTTCCTTTATCCTTTTATTGGATGAATCAAATTCTTTTAATGTAGCTCTTGGGAATTCCTTACGTTGCATATTGTGTTTGGTTTCTCCCCCCCCCCCCCCCCTGCCCCCCATATTGCTAACTCTTTGAGAATGGAAGGTAGGATTGACCAAGGGCTATGGAGTAAAGGGAAAGAAGTGGCTGCAATGGAGACACAAGCTCGGCACCAACACCATCTTTAGACTCCTCCTCTTCCTCAGCAGCAACAACAAAATTTACTAAGATACTATGTGCAGGACAGTGGGTTAGTTAGGCTCTATAGCCCATGTACTTCAGAACAGCATCATTCTAGCTTTGAAAACAATTTGGGAATCAAACAGAAATGAATATTTAAAAGGTTATCTATCTATCCATCTATATTTATTTATCGGCCTGTCTAGTAAATAACTTTCCTCCCTTATTCTCCTTAAAAAGGAATTGACAATCTGCTAACCTGTTTGGCCACTGGTCTGGGGGAATCTGAATATAAAAACCACACTTGAATCAAAGGGAAAAATTGGGACCTGGCAGAGGTAGAAGGGAAAGGACATTCCTCTGTGGCGAATTCTTTGAAATGGGATAAGAAAAAAAGACAGGGAAACCACAGACCCATTCTACAGATCTAGAAAGCTGGTTTTCTGGTCCAAAATAAGGAGAGCAGTTAAGAATTCAATGATACTTTTTTTTGGTTGTTGTAACATTTCCTTCCACATATTTGTATTTCAGATTTATTAAATCACCTACTGACTGATGAGAGAGGAATCCAATGAATTGTCACGAAACTAAAAAAGGAAAACGGAGACCCAGAAGTTCTCCAGGTGAATCTAACTGAAGGTTGTGCTGGGAACCAAAAAGATGATTTAATACCAAACTTGACCCCAAAAAAGTAACATGTTGTGGTCTTCTCACAACTTTTCAAAAATTAATCAATTTCATCTCTTCTAGTTATTTGTTTCCATACTCACAAAATCTTATGACATTTGGACCTCGTACAAAGTTATATGATAACCGTAGTCAATTAGTTTTGTCACTGTAATTTGAAGGAGCATGAACTCAGTTGTGATCCTTTTAACTCTAAATCTAATCTGGAGAATGCCTCCCCTCACTATGTCTTCCCAAACTGTGAGGGATGTTGGATAAATTTGACCAATTCCAGGGATGGGGTTCTCAGTGATCTTGGGTGTCAGGTGCCTTTTTCCTTCTGTGCTCAGTCTGTACTTCAGTGCAATAGCTTCCCAAGTCTTTCTCATATTACAAACACGTGGGAAAACACTGCCACTTACTTAAAATGTGTTTTTTATTTAAAATTTCAACAGTTGATCATTCATTTTATGTTTTCACAACCAAACAAGTAATAAATATTATTTAGCATTTTTTTTTTACAAAAATAAAACAGATGATAAAATCTCTGCAGGGAGCAGCGATAAGAAAAGTGGTGTTATATTGCAGATGCTAAGAAGCTCAGCACTAACTATTACAGCAAAGTAATGTGGAGTTCTGTTCTGCTCTGTTTTGACATAGAAAGCACACCGAAAGTTTGTCGTAATTTTGTTAAATATGGCCTAAAGAAAACATTAATAAAAGAAAACTTTAGACATCCACGAGCCTCATACAGCACACGTGTACAAACAGAAAGCTCCAGCAAAAAGGAACACATTTCATCATCTGACATTATATTTACAACTTCACAAGAGAAACTTTTTTTAAAAAACAAACAAAAATTACTACATTTACAGCAACAACTTTTTAGTTCTTTCAAACTACTGGATATCGAACTTCAGGTAAGAAACCAAGAAACCAAACCACCTTCACATTTTGTGATCTGCAACAGAAAAGGTAGAAAGAGAGAAGTAAAATGCTTTTTTAAAAATGTAACTAAGAACACCACCAAAAAGGCATTGACCGTTTTGGCTACTCCAGTTCAAAAGCATCTCTTCTCACTTTGCCTACAAAGTCTCTCCTCTTTTGAAAAAGAAAATTCACATTTTTTTTTAAAAAAAAGCCAACAACAACAAAAAACTCAAATGAACAACAAGAACAACGTTGGGTAAAACAAAACAACAACGACAACAAAGAAAAAAATTGCCATAATTCACGGTGAGTTGTGGGTGTATTCAGTTACTGAAAATGGAAAGAACAAGTATGCGCTGTACAGAATAACGCCTTTCAACTTCTCCTTTTCGAGGGGGAGACTAAGAACTCGTATAGGGTGTGTGTCCGAGTCTGCCTGTTGCAACCAGATCTTAACCCGTCTCGGGCTCAGTTTTCCTGAGTCTCTGACCTAATGATTCATGGGGAGAAGAAACGGGGGGAGGGAGAGAAGAAAATTAAAAAATCGGCGCCAAGTGTTGTCAGATCCTGCTCGGCTTCAATCAGCAGTGAAGAAACACTGTCTTGCCCGGTGAAGTGAAAGGGAACGTAGAAGTGGAAGTTGCCAGTGCCTTCTTTAAATCGCCTTATCAAATGAATGTTTTGTTTTGCTTTTAGGTCCGGGAGGGCTGGCAAAGGCCACAGGGAAAAGGTCACCGACCCTTGCAACTCGGGCCTCTGTCTCTTCCGTCCCTTGGAGATTCACAGTCTGGAGTCCTTCATCTTTTCCTCTCTCCCTTTTTCTCCAGGAAAATGTTCCACAACTGGAGCTACTTCTGCTCCTCACTCTCTCCGTCCCCACTCAAGGCCCTTTCCAAAGCCTCAGTTGGCTCTGACTGATCTCATTTGGCGTCGGAAGTGAGTCTGGGGAGGCTGGTCGTGCTCATACCGGAAACGTGGTGGTGAGGTGGTGGCACCTGACACATGCTGCACGGGCAGGGCATCCCACCCCAGTGCTGGAAACTGCCACCACCTCCCCCTCCACTACCCAGCTGGGTGGCCACGGATGCCGAGGGCGACTTAAGCAAGCCATGCGGGGGTCGGATGGAACTGACCGCTGAGAGACCAGAGCCTGGAAGGGAGGCGCTGGAGACGGCCGCGGCTGCGGCAGCTGCTGCTGCCGCCGCCGCAGCGGGCGGCAATATTGGGTGATGGACTGCGGGGTGGTGGGAGGCGTGCGCTGCTGCCGCTGCTGGGTGCGCAGCGGCCGCTTGCAGGGGCGCCGAATGTGCCAAGCTCCCGCAGGCTGAGGGGTGGAAACCAGCGTGGTGGCCGCCGTAGATCTCGCTGACCAGCCGCTTCATTTCCTCTAAGGAGTTGGTAAGCATGAGGATGTAGTTGCGGGCCAGAAGAAGAGTAGCGATCTTGGAGAGCTTGCGCACCGAGGGCCCGTGCGCGTACGGCATGACTTCACGAAGCCCGTCCATTGCGATGTTGAGGTCGTGCATCCGTTTGCGCTCCCGGCTGTTGATCTTGAGCCGAAGCTGCTGTAGCTCCGGCTCTGTCATCTGCTTCTTGTCCTTCTTGGTAGAAGATGCGACCGAGGAAGACGATGAGGTGGACGAGGAAGAAGAGGTGGTGGAAGACGAAGACTTAAAGCAGCCGCCGCCCAGCTTGTCCCCCGGGTGCACGCCCGCCGCGCCCATGGCGTTTCGTAGCTCCGCGCTTAGTTCTGGCTGGCAGTCGTTTGGTGTAGAAGAGGAGACAGTGCCCCCGGAGAAGCCACCGCCACCACCGCCACCGCTACCCTTGCTCCGGGCTGTAAGGAAGATGTCATCCGTCTCCGGTGAGGACGGGCGGCTGGACACCAGACTGGTATCGGAGTCCATATCCCCTGGGCTGGCGCCACACACACACACACACACACACACACACACACACACACACAGAGTCTCTTGGTGAACTCTCTCTTTCACAGTCGGAGTCACTGCCCGCCAAGCCGCTTCGCACGCCTCCTGTGGAGAGGAGGAGGGGAGAGGGCAAGAGAGAGAAACACAAAGTCAGTGAAAGAAAAATTTCACTCCCCGTTACAACTAAGCAGCAGTAGCAGGAAGTACCCGGCAGCTTAATATCTTCCCACATCAGCCTAACTTTTACTCTCTTTTTGGCAACATACAAAACACAAGCAACTACTATGTTTCTCCTCTACCCCCACCCCCACCCCCACGTAGGCAGCCTTCTCTTTATTATTCCCCATCTCTTTCATAGTGGATCTCATTACAAGCTGCTCTTCAACACAGTACATGGGATTTACCTTAAGAGTATGTGTGTGTGTGTGTGTGTGTGTGTGTGTGTGTGTGTGTGTGTTTGGGGCGGCGGGGCGGGGGGGGGGAACGACTGGTAGAGAAAAGGAGGAGAGTTGCGTGTCAGTGAGGGAGAACAGGCATTAGGTTTCAAGTAGTTAAGTACCCTAAGTGATAGAGAGGTGGGGGCAGTCGGCTGGAAGAGCGAGGGTCATAAGAGAAGAGGACTCTTCCTTATGGAGAGGGGGAACCTAATCTGAACAGCAGAGTATTTTGCTGCTGTTGTGTTAACCCTTACCAGCACCCCCCTCACACACACACACACACACACACACACACACACACACACACACACTCCGTTTTCTATTCTTTATCTTGTCCGTTAACTCTTCAAGGTGACACACGGAAAAAGCAGAAGCAGCAATTTGCTACTCCTTTTCCTATTTGTTGCTTTTGGGGTGGGGTGAGGGCAGAAGTGTCAGCCGGCTAGAAGACAAGGGTGCTTCGGGTGCTCCCCCCCCACCCTCTACTCCTGGGGTCGGTACATCTAGTCTTGAGTTCAGCCCCAAACTCCGGATCTGAGCTGAGTAAACTGATAATTTACCCTGAATCAATGTCACAGATCCTAGTAGAGATGGGATTGGGGGCGGGAGACTGCTAGGCGAGGGTAGAGAGTGGGGAGAAGGTTTGATTGGCGGCCGACACTTACTAGGTTTTTTTTCCAGGCGATCTCTACAGTAAGGTGCAGCCAGGGAAGCCGGGATCCGCTCTGGGCGCTTGGCGATGGGCGTTGTGTCAGAGCTGTAATGATATTCAGCACCTTTAGGGTCTCGACGGGTTTTTATAGGCACATCAGCCGGCAACAGCCGAGGTTGAGGAGGAGGGTTGGGGGAAGGAGAACAATGTTATTGTCCTGGAGGGGCCTCTGCACCAATAAGCACCGTCCTGTCAGGGGGCTGGGAAGCTGATGTCATCCAGGCTAATTCCGCTCAATGAAACGGACCCCGGGCACACGCCTCTTCCCACCCCCGAGCCAATGGACGTCTTCAAGAAGTAGAGTCGCAGCGAGGGACAGAAGGAGGGAGGGACAGAAAAGGAGGGTAGAACTGGAGGGAGGAAAGGAAGAAGAGAGAGAAGCTTTGTCAAATCTCTATAAAAATACAACAATGATTACTGTTAGGAACAGCTGTTAGCGTAAGTAGGGAAGGGGAGACGCGGACCAAACAAACTTGAAGCAAGCAACAATAACATTTTGAAAAATACCTTACTAACCTCTTCTCGTCCCCACCCTCCCAGTCTTATCCTGGCTCCCTCTCCTCTTCTGAATCTTCCCTTGGTTTCGGGCAGGTTTGGAGAGTTTTAATAGGTTTCACAATCCCATCTGCATTGTCTCGCTTCAAATGTAAACACTCACCAGGCACAATGCAACCAACCCATCCCACACTTACTTAAGTACTTACCTCATGTCTGGGAGGCAACAGCCGCGCTCCAGCCATCTGCCGGTTCCCGAAAACTTATATTTCTCTCTGAGTGCCTTTGGGAGTCGAAGGAAGAAGGGAAAGGTCCAGGGAGAATGGACAGAGATTATTAGCATAGTCTAGAAAGAAAGCCCAAATCTCAAAAAGTCATTGCTCTATTTTTTCGGCATAATAATTTTGATCACACTAAATAATCATATACACTTAATACATATTTGTTGACTGGATGGATGGATACTAAAGATTCTGAATTTTCTGAATGCTGAATTTTGCATGTGGGTTAGACAACCCACGGTTTTCTTAGGTTTCCCCACGGTCCCAGACTTCCTTGCCAGTTAGAGCAACCAACTGTAAATATAGTGAATATTGACCACGGATATATTAATAATCTAAGACAAAACTAGAGTTGTACACTGCATTTTCACTATTATGAGAAGCAGTAACAATTAAATTTGTTTGCCTTCAGCCTGAAATCTTTTAGGCCTAGATAAACTTCTTTCAGACATAATACAAGCGGGCTCTTGCTAATTTTACATGGCTACATCTGAACGTCTTTGAAAGCTTAAAAACAAAACAAAAACTCTATATGACCTATTTGTAGAACAATCTCTCCAAGCAGCTTGAAGGTAGATAGATACTTTTCCATCCATTGTAAAAATGAGGAAACTGAGATTCGAAGGTCTTGAGAGAGGCTACATAGAAAATTGCTGACAGTTTGGAACTGAATGTCGGTAACATTTCTGATTAAGAGCTTCTTCATTACAATCAACAGGCACATTGAGAAATCAGCGAAAGCTTACAATGGCTATCTTGGGAGAAGGCACTTGGGTCGCTTCCTAAATCACTGTGATCTGCCCAAGCCTACTTTTCTCTAGATTTGGCACGTTTTAGAATCACACGAGTTTGTAGAAAATTGTACAATGAAAAGGAAAACTTCGTTGTGGCTTGAAATTTGCTGACTGCTGTCTGTCTTCGTGTTTCTGGGTTTCTTTTATTTTCCATGTTAAAAAAAATTTTTTTAAGGGCATGACCAATGTGTATTCAATATATGAAAATATAAGTTTATTTATTCCAGCTCCAGGGGACATCTTTGTGAGCGGAAGATATGGCCTATATGTCTGTGCCCCTAGCACATTAACATGCACTCAGAAAGTACGATGTTTAATAAATGTATTGGATTCAAATGCATGTTGAGAGCTTTAGGAGTGAGAGGACCTTGCGGCTGTAATATTTACTCCTTTGCCCTTGCCCAGCTATCTGCGTAAATCTCAGCAGGTTCTCTTCCCCGCCTCAGCTTGGTATCTTCTTTCTGAAGCATTGCTTTTCTAACCGTGTGTTTCGCAGCTGGCACTGCAAACTGTCCGTTAAATATGTATTTAAAACGTTAAGACCTGAAGCGTGGAAATATGTTGTCTAACGGTTATGATGATGACCCATAACAGTTCAATTAGGAGAATCTGTCACATAGACAGTCTGGCTGGGATGGGGGTGGGAGGGCTCGAGAAAGCTTGCTTGTGCAGGAGAATCTATGCATAGTCTCCATGAATAAGGGTGTGTGAAAGCGCCCATTCCTGTGCTCCTGGGTCTAATTTTCGCATTTCCGTGCTTTTAGGTGTGTGTGTTGATGTACAAATGTCTACATGCACAAACAGTTGTGCTTTTTTGTGCGCGCAGTTGCTGGTTTGTGCATTTAGGAACTATTCATATGTTAACGATATAAGTATGACCATCCTTAAGTTTGGATTTCTAAACACACGCGTTCGTCTCCTCCCCACCAACACAGTGTGGAAAATATTCCCAAGAGAGGGTGTCGTATCTCTTGATTTTGCTGTACGCAAATTGGCCTGGAAGGAGGCTAGCCTGTGTCTGGCCAACCAGCTGCAGAAGGCATGGCTACCCGCCAGGGTTTAGGAGCTAAGACTTAGCCGCCCGCAGGCAGCCGACTGTAGCTGGATCGAAGGCGAGGCAAGAGACTGACTGCACGTAATTGCACCTGTATATGAGGAGGAGGGTGCAGAGATCCAGTTCAAGGGTATCTAAAAAGAGCATCTGAAGCTTGGACACCACTCAATACGCTACCAAACGAGCAGCAGCAGCAGCAGCTTCAGCATAGAGCAATAGCACTGAGTTATAAAATGAGGGTGTTGGATTAGAACGAGGTCTATGGTTCTTTCCAGCTCTGAAGTCCTAAGGGTCTATGATTATTAAATCAGAAAACTAGGCCATCAACCACCTCCTCCCCTCAGCCGGCTGCGCCACGAGCAGAGTACGCAGGGCTAGTAACCTCACTCTACTTCACAGGCCACTCCAGCCGCAGCGCAGAAGTTGCCGGCGGGTAGGGGCAGGGGCAGAGGCTGAGGCCCGAGGCAGTGCTAGGGGAGTTATCTCGCCCCTAGACCTAGGGATAAAGTTGAGCTCGTTGCTTTGAAGCTGTGTCCCACTCTGTACCGTCCCAGACCTCTTTGCCAGAGAAGTCTCTTGCGTTGAGTGAAGGAAACCAAGGAGAGGTGGGGTGGGGAGGGGGATGGGAGGGGTGCAGGGGAGAAGTGTAACTAACAGTAGTTAAAGAAAGCACTATGGCTTCAGAAGCTCTTCGGAAGAAGCCTTTTAGATGCTTCGCTTTCCTCCTTTCAACTTGCTTTCTGCAGGAGGATGGTGTGTGTATGTGTGTGTGTCTGTGTGTGTGTGTCTGTGTGCCTGTGTGTGTCTGTGTGCGCGCGCTCAAACGCGCGCGCCCAGCCGCTGCTTGGATACCGCTTTCTCCCAGAGGAGTCACTCGCTATATTTACTGTTGGTAAAGTCCCGAGGAGGTTTCTTAGCTGGCTGGGGCGTTCTGGAGCTCTCAGGATCCGTTGTTCAAATGCATGGAGTTATGGACTTTCTTTCTTTTTCCTTTTTTTTGCATTTTCCTCCCACAAAGAGTCGGTTTCTGCTCAAGCCGCCTAGTGGCTGGGTGGGAAAAGCTCCAGCCGAACTTTCTCAGGCTGGGCTTTCCATTTTCAGGGTTCGAAATGGATAGGCCTCCCAACTTCTTTCCTTTCCTCTCTCTTTTCTTTATTTTTCCTCCCTTTCCTCTTCCTTTGGGCATTCAAGTGTTATCCCTCCCTCTGC